TGGGGGGTGAATGTGTCTGGGGGGGGAGTGTGGTGGTGAATGTATCGGGGGGTGTGGTGACACCGCGCCTCTTCTGCCTCCTCCAGGTGCTGGCATTGATCGGAAGGCTCTAATACGGCAGTTCAACCACCTGAACCACATGAACCCCGACTCTTTTGAACCCCAAGACCTGGACATGTTAATCAGAGCGGTGAGTGCGCAATCATCACCCCGCGTCCTTCTATACACATCACACAGACTCCGCCCACATCGATGTTACGCCGGTCTCCTCCCCTTCTACGAGTATGCCAGGCTCCTCCTCTTCTCTCATAGCTGGGACAGGAAGTGATGGGAAATCCAAACAGTTGTGCCTCCAGTAAAGGAAGTGAAGGGAATAGTCCTAATGGGGTGCAGGCAGTACAGGAAGTGAGGGGAATAGTCCTAATGGGGCGCAGGCAGTACAGGAAGTGAGGGGACTAATGGGGCGCAGGAAGTACAGGAAGTGAGGGGACTAATGGGGCACAGGCAATACAGGAAGTGAGGGGACTAATGGGGCACAGGCAGTAGAGGGGACTAATGGGGCACAGGCAGTACAGGAAGTGGGGACTAATGGGGCGCAGGCAGTACAGGAAGTGAGGGGACTAATGGGGCGCAGGCAATACAGGAAGTGAGAAGGTTTTGGCCGTTCGTTGATAAAATCAGCAAATACAGCTTCAGACATTAAAGAGAACCTGTCAGGATACAAGTGCGGAGCTGCCATTGGCTACTTGATTTTACAATGCAGGCTCCGGGGCGGTCATGCTCATCCAGACGCTAACCCCGGCGGCTGCATACTTCAGTGACCCGGCAAGGATGAGGATGGCGGCCTCAGAGTTTTTGGGGAGTGGTTCCTTAGAGTAGGATGTGATCTTCCCTCCGCGGTGTCCCGGCTCCGGTACAATGACCTCTTCTCCCGGGTTCTGTGTGTTCTGTTCGGATGGTTCTGCGGAGTCTGTAGACCGGACTCTGTATTCTGCGGCCGGTGCTGACCGGCGGAATGTTATTAATCGATATAAACCGTCCATGATGGAGGATCGGGGATTGTAGGTGTGAGGGGTCTGAGGCCGGGACCATTCCGTGCTTTAGTCGTCCCCTCATTCTATGCCCCTCCCCCACCACATTATTAATAAAGGATTTAGAATAATAATTCCCGTTCTTGTCGGTAAATAGGACATTTTAACATTTCTGTTTCTTTTTTTCAGTTTTAAAACAACAATTTGTCTTCATCTTTCCTGTCCGTCTATAAGTCTACTTTAACCCTCTGACTGCCAAGAATGTCGCACACGTTATGGGCCCCGGGGGAGGGGGGGCGGGTATACGTGACGTGTTTAGATGAAGCGCTGAGGTCTTGAGGAATGACCAGAATTAGGTTTTACTTCCTTAGCGGGACATCACATGTATACAGCATTGTAGAGGAAACATATAGATGATAGATAAGTGACCATGGAGACGAGACTTACACCACAGCGCCACCTACAGCTCAAAACACAATATTACATCAGCATAAGCTCTGTACTTCCAACATCCCTCAGGCCAAAAATGTCATTGACAGAGGAGGAGCTAGAAACTGAATGAGACCGAGCAATCACTCCTCCCTCCGTGCAGATCTGACCCCTCCCTCCGTGCAGATCTGACCCCTCCCTCCGTGCAGATCTGACCCCTCCCTCCGTACAGATCTGACCCCTCCCTCCATACAGATCTGACCCTTCCCACCCTCCATACATACAGATCTGACCCTTCCCACCCTCCATACAGATCTGACCCCTCCTTCCCTCCATACAGATCTGACCCCTCCTTCCCTCTGTACAGACCTGACCCCTCCCCCTGTCTAAAAGGGATCAACTATTCCTCGGCTCCCTCTTAGGTAACCCGCAGTGCTCCAGGGATCCTTCGTCCTCTATGAAATGTTTACTTGTGAGCAAAGATTGTCATAAATAAATAAACCCCCCCCCCCCTCCCCCCTCTAATAATAATCTGTCCTCAGGCAACGAAAGACTTGGAGAACTTTGATAAGGAGCGCCATGATGAGTTCAAGCGCTACGAGATGATGAAGGAACATGAAAGAAGAGAATACCTGAAAACCCTGAATGAGGAGCAGAAGAAGGAGGAGGAGGCCAAATACGAGGAGATGAAGAAGAGGCACAAAGACCATCCGAAGATTAACCATCCGGTGAGTAGATTCCAAAGATGGACCGGAACCGCTCTGCTTCTCCAGTATAAACCATCATCATCCACCCCCCCACCATAAACCATTAGCTCCTCCTCCCCCCCAGTATAGACCATCAT